CCCTCCTGCTGTCCACCTGCTGCTAGCAATAGCAAACAAATTCTTAAAACTTGCATCACTCTGTGTCAAAATTATCTTTAGAATCATTAGCAACAGAAGCCTTTATAAACAATTTTAGACTGCTTTTATAATAAGAAAACAATCTATAGCTGCGGTGACTCACATCTTAATGAAGGCAGTATAAAAGCAATAATCAATGGGTTGATATGAGAGATTGTCTGGGCAGGAACTCTGGGCATTTCTTGATATGAGTAGGGAATTATCCCAGTGTCTGGGACAAATTTTCCCCCTTCGCCTGTACCGTGGCCTCCAAATTGTCCCCATGTACTGTATGATTGGCTTGCACTTGCCCTGTGATGGACTGGCCCCCTGTCCTGGGTGTACCCTGCCTTGTGCTCGTTGCTTGCTGGGTAGGCTCCAGCTTCCCGAAACACCGTATGGTATAAAGCAGTTTGGCAAATGACTTTAAATATACACAACCCTTAATAATAGCAATTGTAAATAAGTTCTGGTGTAGCTAATTGCCTTTCAAATCAAACAACAAGCTATTATGTCAGATTAAGATCACAATTAGCTACAGTATTTTTTCTCGGTTTTCATTTGTAATTACTTTTCAGAATGTTTAAGCATTAGATTTTGACTTAGAGGTAGTGTGACAAAGTAAATAAAGGTATATGTGAAGATGGCTTTTGTGCTATAAGAGGTGAGAACCGATAGTGCAGCGTGCTAAAGAACTGTGAATTAAGCACAATTTCTTACAGAAGTGCAGGTTTGAATCTCACACCTGACATTCCAACAGGTCAGTCGTAATGACGTAGTCTTTTTCTTTTGTGTCTGAACACCTACAGTATCCTGTGGCCACCTGCAATCCTTTTAAGTCTGTGTCTCTCTCTCGTCAGCCTCTTTTTCTTTCGGTCTATGAAGACACTCTTCTATCTTGTGTATCATTTGGAAACAGGCTTTGCCTTTTCTGAGTAAGGTTTCGGGCCAATAATGTACATACAGATACTTTTGTTCTAGAATACAGAAGAATCACAAAATGAATAAACAACTTGCTCTCTCCAGCTCTCTCTGTATTCATTAATTTGCCTGTAAACCTGTATTACTAAACCTAATTAATATATAATACGTTGTAGCGTTCAGAGACAGCAAATGCCAAAGCCTGCATGAAGTACAATTTCATGCTGGCTTATTTTTAAATAAGATTGTTTAATATTTTGGAGTCACCGGGTAATAGCAGTTCAACAGTTGTATCATTATCTTGGAATGAAGAGGTTTATCTTTTAAAACCCTATTCTGTATGTTGCATATTGAACAATTACATTTCCCTTTTTAAACACTATTTAAGAGGAACTTCATCAATGTTTATGTTCATTTTTGTTACCAAACTCTATTGAGGGCAATGTAAGAGATAGCCATGCCTATTGGCAATTGTTTTCTTTATAAATTAACATTTATTTAAAAAAATATGTGTGTTGTGTGTGGAAGATGTGGATACAAAGTTTCTGATAAAAAAAGATGCAATGATTTGTACACAGTGGTATATATACAGTAGATGACAGCATTTTAACGATGCCATGTTAGTGATGTTTTCATACTGCTGGTTTAATTATACTGTAAATGGAATTAACATACAGCAGTTATCTTAAAGGCAACAGGTTTAAATACTGGTTTTGACAATGGAGCCCCCATTTTAGATATAATCCAGAAACCTACAGTCGTGTTTTGAATCCTATGCCTCATTTCTTTCACTAGGGACAACAACATCCAACAACTGGATGCTTTGTGATAGCTTAGGATACCTGGTGAGAAATGTCTTAACCAGCTTAGTTAATGGATAGCCGCCTGGTAACTGCAACTGAGAGATGAGGCGGAGGGATGTTTGAGACGAAATGCGAAGGGAGGCGTTTGAATTCAGTGTGTGTAGCTAATGACGTAATGAAGGTGACTACCTGTAGGTTCAGCTGTTTGAGACTGACTTGTTATTGTGACGCATATGGCCATCAGGGTGTGTAAGAGCCGGCTTACCAGAGCAGTGACGTCGCCGCCCTTCCCTGTGATAGCAGGACTACAGCTACTAGGTTGTAAAGAAATCTCTCTTCAGCTCACCGGGCTGGGTCCCTGTCGAGTGATGCGGGAATCCCTGGTTCGAGCCCCCGCTGATGGGGGGCCGACCTAATGCGGCAAGGGCGCCCACCTGAACCCACGTTGCGTTACATTATTGTCCCTCCCGAAATTATGTTAAAAACGTCCATTTAGAGTATCAAAGTAGTAAAGCCGGGTTTTTCTGAATAACAAGAGCCTGGGTTCTACACTTCCGTGCAAGAATTAAAATATTAACACTCTGATGGTACAGTACATTCAAGGTAATTAAATATTTCGTTTTATTTTACTATCTTACGGTAAATGGCGTCGCAAAATACGCGCTGACATGAGACACAAAAACAAAGCAAACAAATTGCAAAACGAACCTGCCGCAACAACCTTTTAATTAACAACGATATTTTATAAATATATGCAAAGGTTAGTACTGCTGCAAAAGACAAGTGGTAGTGAAACCGCCACTTCTGCCTTAACTTTTCATCGGTGGTCAAAAGCGGTGGTTTTAGATCGACGTCGTACTTCCTCTGTTGGGAAAAGCACGGTAGAAATAGATCTTTTAAGAGCTGTCGGCTCTCTAATGGTATTTCTGTCGTGCTCTAATGCGGGTTTATACCGCTGGGTGTAACTGAAGTGTAGCCGCATCACCACTTAAAAGTCGGTATCATTGGATGACTCGCTAAAATCATTTCGTTCAACTTCTATTTATAATATACGTCTATTATAAAAGTGTTGCGTTAAATTTTTTAAGAATATCGTGTGGGTGTACGTCTGTTCAAATGTTCACTAGTCGTCAGTGCATTCTTTTTTCTCAAAAACAGTAAAATTATACTGTACGTCTTCACCGAGACGTGCAGGGTGGCCTACGGTACATCAACACTGGACAATTCCGAACACTTCAAACGTTTTGACATTTTTGTGGGATTCAGCAATCACATACTGTGACGTGTGTTGCTCCTTTTAAGTCTGTTTTCACTCTAAGCCCTGCTGAAAACAATTCTGACCAATGTCAAAAACAATTTACCGTTTCCAGTAGTCTGGGTGTCATAATAACATCAGACGACAGTGGGCCAGGATGCCTGGTCTCTTTATTCAGCATTAGCCTGGGGGCAATTATGCTCCTGAAGACAGTGTTAGGAATGGGACACCGTGAGCCATGATAAAGCATTTGACCACTGGGTCTGAGGTTAATTGGGACGTGTCTTGTATTCACTGACGTTGATTATCTTGAAGGACTTAAATAAAGAAATAAATTGCTTTGCAGACAATTGCAGTCTAAGCAGGGAAGGGCGTCTTCTGCTAACGGATTTAAATAAATCAATCCTCTCTCCCTGAACGTCCGCATAATGTCCACCCAAAAAGCCGGTTCCCTGTAAGAAAGTGCTACAACTACGACAGAAGATCAATTATTTACAGCATGTTTCTGACAATTTTCACAGAGGATTTAATAACAAGAGAGATGGTGTCAAACTAGCTAACATAAAAAAAAAAACTTAGGTTGCAACACCACTACAAATCTAAAACGCTCATTCATGGCGACTTACTAATATAATAGCCATGACGTCAGCTGGTCGGGCGCGCTTCTGTGTAGTGATTTTCATGCACTGTAGTGCTGGATCTGACTTCTGGTGAAGTGCTATAGCTGACCTGTAAGCTAACCTGACCTTTGTTTTCGAATGTACAGTACGTCACCGGGATAATTTTCCGTGTTCATTAAAATATGAATTAAAAAAAAAAATCATGTTTGCACCATGTGATGTGCTGTACTTCTGGTCTTACAGCCTAACCTTTTAAACCGGTGAGGAATTAATGAGTCCAGAGTAACCAGGAAGCTCTTATTATTGCATGGTGGAAATACATTTTTGTGGACGGACAAGCAACTGAGTGGTTGACTGAAGCCTCAATTTTGTTTTTTTGTTACCACCATAATTGAAAAAGTAGGCTTTTGGACAAACTTTGGACACAGAAACTACCCGTAGTTTCCAGACAATGTATGTTGACATGTAGCCTATATGGAACGGGCCTAGTAGTAAAAATAAACATTATATATATACATTTCTTAGTGTTCACGTATAGAGCAGACATTTATAATTCACTTAAGCATTGTAGATAGATTAGTTAAATGTGGTTAGACTAGCTGAATCTGGAAAGATGTACATCCGGCGCACAAAGATGTCTTCTTATTGCAGAGAGTTCTTTAATAAGGTATCCGCATACTAATGTTGCAGATTTATTAAGATACTGAAATACACCAAAAATGATAATCGAAAAAGATATTTCTGTCAAAATAGTTCAGGTGGGTAGCTGCATGAGCATGCGTAGGCTGCAAAGGAACAAGTAACAGGTTTATTCCATGCTGAAAAGAGAAGAAAGAAAACACAACGTTTCAGTCATGGAGCCTTCTTCGGGTGTGAGCAGCAGGTCTGTGTGCATGGAATAACCCTATTACTTGTTCCTTTTCTGTCAAAATGCCGCCAGCCCTCATGTATTTTTTATCTGCGTCTCTAAAATTATTCTGATTCGGTTCATTGGAATGACGTTCCCACAGATTGAAGTCTAAGAGGAAAACGTTATTGCAAAATATGTTTGGTGTTTTGATTATTGACTTTCAAAAACACAGTCTTCTTCTTGCATTTTTGTTTTACATACATTACTCTTCCTACATTTTTGTTTCAATTACTTTTTAGTTTTTAATTTTCTGCGAAGCCAAGAAGTTTGTTTTTGTACTACTGTACATAGCGCATCGTGTACGGAAGGTGCATGGCATTTTCCCCTACATTTCTATTTCTGGTTTCTTCTCTGAAAAGCAGTAGGCTGTTTATTTTAATAAGATAAACAAGCTCTACAGAGGGTTGAGTTCAAAAGCATTTTGCATCCAACAAGTAATTCTGCCACCTTACCTGTCCACGCTGATGACACAGAGCGTCATTATGGATGCCGTGCAGCACATTACGTCCATTCCGATAAAGATATTGCAAAACACCTCGCCAAACAGCCACTTTCCGCCTGTGAGGTCCGTCACGATTACAAAGGGCATGACGACCACTGCCACCGACAGGTCCGCCACTGCCAGAGACACCAGGAGATAGTTGGACGGCTGCCTCAGTTTCTTCACCACACAGACTGCTATCACTACCAATGTATTCCCCATCACGGTCACCGCCGTGATAATGGTTAGCATCACCCCGATCATAATCTTCTCTACCGTACCGAAGTCGAGGAGTTGTTCCCCGCATGACTGACTCACGTTGGCGGTGGGATCCGAGGCTGGGAGGCTGTTGGAGAGATAGAGCTGTGTGGTGGCGTTAGACGCTTCCCAAACATTGTCTTGGTGACCCAAAGCAAGTTCAACACCCGAAGTAGCAAACATCACGGCCGGGAGCTGCCCGTGTCGGTGCTGGGGACACCTCGCCAACAGCGCGCTCTTGTCTGGAGCATACTTAGGGTGTTTTTATTCGTCTGCGTCTGACCTGGGGTCCATCTGTCGTTTTCCCAGTACCAGAAAAATACAACCGCAATCAAACCGCAAAACGCCACTTTGACAAATGTGATGAGTTAATTCAGTAAGGAATCCGCTTGGAGATGCGCTTGGGGTGAAAATGCCGTTAAAATCCTCCGTTTCGGTCTCATGACGTTCTCGAAGATTGCTTCTTCCTCCCGCATAGCTGTGAAAGACCTTCCTACAAAGTATGTGTGGTTTTTTTTGCGCTTTTTGCGGGGAGCGCAAGCTGTGTTTGCTCTGTAAGTTCAGCGGCTCCTCTAAAACGTCTAAAACGCAGGGGTTGCTGCAGTCTGAGTAAAACCGTCGTCTTCCTCTTTGAACCTTTGAGACAAGTGCGAAAGCCACAACGGAGTCTTAAAACGACTGTGTGCAGATCTACCGTACAGAGTTCACCTTGTGACTACAAATACTAAGATCAACTAACAACGCCAGTCTTATCAGATGCAAGGGGTTTTCTCTTGCTTTCCAACTCCTCCGGGTGCTATTACGGCGACGGTGCAAAGTTCTTTTCAGTGATCCAGTGTGACACCCACAAACACCACACAGTGCCAAAAGTCATTCGGAAATACACGGAGCCGTGCAGATACAGTACCTGCAGATTGCGAATTGTGGGACTACTGTATATATATTTGTAAAGCGTCCAATTACTTTTTTTGTCCATAAACATTAAGATAAAATACAGCTTTCACGCGTGATTGCATTGATTTCTCCTGACATATTTTGAACTGTATTTCAGTTTGCAATTCTTTTGTAAATTTTATGTACGGTGAAATAGCTGTAAATGTCACCGCTTGCCGAGGCCGGTGTTTTCACATTCTGCAAAGAATCGAACTATCGAAGATGATGATGAAGATGATAAAATAATGATTGAGTAAGCTAAAATTCGGTGACAAGTTAAGCGAAATCAGATCAGGTTTATCCTCTTTAGGTGTTTTGTTTTTTAGGAACTGTACAAATAATTAAAATCGCAATTAACTACAATACAAACTGGTTTCTTATGCTGAGCAACGAACAGTATGCGAGCAGAATATACTGTACGAGCCCGTTTACCTCAAGCATTACGTGTGATGTTCCCGTAATCGCTCGGTAGCCTAATTTAATATGGTTCTGGAATGACCGTTCGTTCTGTGCGGAACAGCTGTATTCTGTAACCGAATGGACGCCCGTCGTATTGATGAAGTGAGGGAGCCGATGTTCTCGCGCTCAGGTGTCTGCGTGGGCACACCTCCTCAGGGTGGGAGTTGTGCGGTACACTGACATCGCCAGTTTTTCGTGTTAACTTTATGAATGAGCACTCGTGTACTCCTCGAGTATTGCAGCTCTTAGAATTATTTCATGCAGATTTTACTTTCATTTGCATTTCATCCTGGTAAAACAATCCTCTTGGTGCTGACATGACGCACTCTCATCATGTCCGGTGGATTCATTCTTAAATATAAGAAAATACTGTTTTTACATATTCTCTGTAATTTCAGGAACCACTTTTAAAACAGTCGAAAACAATGGATATTGAACTTTTAATACAACCAAATATATTGTATTTCACAATTACTAAGTCATGAAATAGCTTCCTGGTTTTCTTCATTTTAAGGACAAATCCAAAAACTGTCATATTTTACGTCTAAAATAAAATCAGAGACTACTACATTCTGTATTGGTACTTCACCTGTTTTCTCTCGAATACAATTTTCATTCACCGTGCTCTTGGTTTTTGTAAATGTCACTGCCACGCTCCTGTAAATAATGTACTGTAGATTTTCTAGTAGCAGTGCCTTGTCTGATGCCGAGGACTGAACCTGGAATGCGAGTTCAGTGGTTGGTTCTGCACGGTTATTTGTTCTGTTTCAGTAAAGAATTCAAGAACAGACTTTTTTAACAAGACAGACTAGCAAGGTAAGCCTTTCTATTTTGGCGGCTTGGTGGGACTGTGTTTCTCCATGCAGCCTGGCACGTTGCCCGTTTGTTTTTTTACATTTTAATGCCCCACAATTCAGATTGTATTGCTTTAAATGAGGGTAAACATTTATCTTTACTCTAAAAATAGCTAGGACAGGGTTGCCGATTTAGCGATAAAACATGACCGATCGGATGAAATTGGGGAACAGTGCAGCAGTGGAAGATCTATAATTTAAAATTAATAGGAAAATGCTACAGTATGTGTACTAACGTATAATTTGCGTTTATTGGGACTCCTACATTAAACTATGTCCGGAGTAGAGCTGGCAAGCCAAAGACACTGTAGTTGCAATAGGATTCCGGCAAAGTATCAAATGAAGACAAAATGAAGTAAGGTGTGTTACGGCACAAATCAACAAAAACTAAAGACCGAAATACAATATTTTAAATGTTTTGATTGCATAAGTATTCAGACAGGTAAACAATATCCAGTACGGTAGAACCAACTTTGGCAACAATTACAGCTGCTAATCATTTTGGGCAAGTCTCACATTGGTTTGATGCAATCTTAGCCCGTTCTTGACGGATTTCTTCAAGTTCTCTCCGTTTGCTTCGGGATCACCTATGGACTGAGTGGTTTTCAATTCTTTCCACAGATTTCCAACAGGATTCAAATCGGGAATTCGACTGGGTTACTCAAGGACAGTCACATTCCTACTCTCAAGCCACTCCACTGTAAGTCTGGTCTTTGTATCATAGTTTTGCTGAAAGGTGTATTTCTGTCCCCGTTTTTCACTTGAGTACTTTGTTTCCAACCTGATTAGGAATTTGAGATGACAGTATTTCTATTCCTTCCAAGCCCACTTTTGTGGAGTTACCATGATATTGTAAACCCACTGACATTTTCTCACTGACAACTTGTTCAAAGTCACCATTGGCAATACAGTGGCATCCCTAACCAGTTTCCTCCTTTCCCAGCTGTTCAGTTTGGAGGGACACCCTAGTGCAAGCAGTATCTGAGTCCCAGTGGGCATTGATTCGTCGAATATACGTATATTCACGGCGAAAATACGGCTATACGTATATATACACGTCGCCTCGACGTATAATCAACGTCGAATTGCAACCGTAAAATCGACGACATTAATAAACGCATATATAACGTCGGAAACACATCTAACACAGTGCCTGAGGCTTTTTAC